GAACCAGCCGAGATTTGAATAGTCTATGGCCGGATTTAGGCTGGGGTATGTTCATGCAGTGCTCTGGCCTGAACAAGTACTAAATAAACGGATGACTGTTGTGAGGTCTACAGCTTCAAAACCTGAAAATGGCAGCTGCCTTGTTACTATCCTTTCAAGGTTCTCCTTTAAGATTGGTCCAGCTAATATACATGTCAATCGGCCGTGTTTAGCCTTCTGTCCAGCAGTCAGTTTTATTAAGCTGTTAAGTGTAGTGCATTATGTTGCCAAATGATTAGTGTACTTATGTAAAGGACTGTACACACTAACAAGTCTTGTTGAATGCCCTTCAATGAATTCCAGCAACCACTGACAGGCATTTAAGAACAATTTTGATGTACCCACACGTATTTTCTTGATCATTTAATTTTTAGCAGCATGTGAGAAAAGGGATAAGAACCACTAGTTGTAACAAATGTTTAAAATATTTTCACACTTTTAGTTATTCTTTAAAAGTCTTAATTTTTTTAATGAGTCCTTGGCATCTAGAACAACCTTCCTCAACTAGGGTTCCATGGGAACCTAGGGTTTGCGAGAGGTACTTGAGCAATGAGCACTTTCTGACTCTCAGATAAGTAACCACTGACACAATGAGCTTACTATATGGAGAGCATGCTTCTTCCCACTGGTTACCAATGTAAGGAGCAATTCTTTCCACTGACCAATGTAAGGGATGTTTTCCTCACTGACGACCAAAGTAATGGACCAAACACCAGGACAAACATGGCGCAGGTTTTGGATTTTCTAAGGGTCACTAAAATTGTCACTGGCGCACTGGCTCCAGTTTGGCAGTACTCCACAAAACGGGGACCACCCTCAGAAAATGGTAAAGGATCTAGAGATGAGAATCCACATATATACAATCCAATGAGTGCACCAAAGAAAAGTCTAAGAGGCAAAGGTAATTTAATGGTAAATTTCATAAAGCCAACACGTTTCAGGGGCCAAACACACTTCCCCCTTCATCAGGGTGAAAATATACACTTACTCTGACCACCAGAGTAATGGGGCATTTCTACCCACTGAAAACCAAAGTAATGTTTCCCTTCACCCCACTGACCACCAGAAGTAATAGGGTTCTTCTCAATGACCACCAAAGTAATGGGACCCTTCTCCTTACTGACCATCAGAGTAAATGGGGCTCTTCTCCTCAGTGACCACCAAAGTAATGGGGCTCTTTTCATTGACCACCAGAGTAATGGGGCTCTTCTCCTCACTGACCACCAGAGTAATGGGGCCTTTCTCCTGACTGACCATCAGAATAATGGGGCCATTCCCCTCAATAACCACCAGAGTAATGGGGCCATTTCCCCCAATAACCACCAGAGTAATGGGGCCATTCCCCTCAATAACCATCAGAGTAATGGGGCTCTTCTCACTGGCGACCAGAGCAATGGGGCTCCTCTTCTCATTGACCACCAGAGTAATGGGGCCTTTCTCCTCACTGACCACCGGAGTAATGGGGCCTTTCTCCTCACTGTCCACCCGAGTAATGGGGCCTTTCTCCTCACTGACCACCAGACTAATGGGGCCTTTCTTCTCAATAACCATCAGAGTAATGGGGCCATTCCCCTCACTGGCCACCAGAGCAATGGGTATCTTCTTCTCATTGACCACCAGAGTAATGGGGCCTTTCTCCTCACTGACCACCAGAGTAATGGGGCTCTTCTCACTTACCACCAGAGTAATGGGGCCTTTCTGCTCAATGACCAACAGAGTAATGGGGCCTTTCTGCTCAATGACCACCAGAGTAATGGGGCCCTTCTCCCCATTGACCACTAGTATAATGGGGCTCTTCTCACTGACCACCAGAGTAATGGGGCCTCTCTCCCAATTACCACCAATCTAAGGAAGTCTGTCCCCACTGACCATCTATGTAAGGGTTTAATTGACCACCAATAAAAAGGGCAAGTCTTGACCTACTGTTCATGCTAATGTCCTGGGAGTTGTACATACAGTAATTAACAGGGATTCCCTGAGACTTAAAGGTTATTTCAAGGGTCCCTCCGTGTCAACAGGGTTGAGAAGGGCTGGTCTAGAGATCCAAGGTATATAGGTTTCGTTTTTATACAATTTTATAGGGTTCTTTCTCTACATGAACATTACTTCATTTTAGACTTAGGTTTTTGTTTTTTTGTTTGTCTTTTTTTAATTCTAGAAACTGGTGCAATTTTCCAATCTTCTCTTCCCTGTTTTGTGATTGGCTAGCTTCGCAAGGCAACAACAGGCCAAATAGCTTCATTTTGCACATCGAGGACTGCTTTAAATCATTGGTAGTCTTTTAGGGTTCAAGTGAAATAGTTCTTCTGTTTGCATTGTAGTAATAAGGTTTCCGTGATACAGAACCAAATATGGAATTAGCTGAGCGATGGGAAGGGCAGTTGTTGGATCTGAGCTCGGCGTCGGTCGATGTGAGAAAACAGTGGACAAAATAAGTGTCGTTTTTATTATCTTTCGTGTTTGCAATGCAATCAGCAGCGAAATTTCCCCTGGGGTATCTTGTGTAAACATCCCTCTCTGCCTAGGTCCCGGATCCAGTGTTTGTACTAATGTGTGACTGCGGTTTGTGTCTTTGCTGAGATTTCTGAATGAATCTGTCTCCCACCCTGCCAGAGGAGGAGGAAGCAGTATTCAGACACTGATGCTGTAGTGGTTTCAGTTATCCTGCGAATTTTGTGCTGAAATCTTTTTTTTTTTTTTTTCAAACTTTGACCAGCGTGTGAACGTGGTTTCAGTTATCCTGAATTTTGTGCTGAAATCTTTTTTTTTTTTTTTTTTTTTTGAACAAACTTTGACCAGCGTGTGAACGTTAGAAAGATTGGCTGCAGCACAACCGTCATGCAGACGGTTAGATAAATATTTCAGAATAAAAGACTCAGAGCTAGCAACATGCAAGGAAACATGAGGAAGGACTGCTTCTTCATGTCTGTTGGTGGAATTGAACTAGGGACTGAGTTTCTGATGGGTGATCAGGACAGTATGGAAAAACGGCCAACTTCCATGAAAAATAGAATGCTGCTGTCCCCATCCATCTGTCCCTTATTTTTCCCCAAAAAAACATGATGGGCAGAAATGAGGTTTGCAGGTGTTTGTGTGTGTGTGCGGATGTGCGTGCCTAGGCTAACTTATATTGATCCTGTATCTGTTGGTGGATTTGAACTAGGGACCGAGTTTCTGATGGATGGGGACAGCATTTTATTTTTCATGGGGGTTGACCGGTTTTCATACTGCTCTGATCACCCATCTGCCCTTATTTTTCCCCAAAAACACATGATGGGCAGAAATGGGGCTTGCAGGTGTGTGTGTATGCACGTGCGTGCGTGCCTAGGCTAACTTCTATTGATTCTGTAGCAGAATTGCCACTCATTGGCGTATATTCTACCCATATGACTAAAATACATACACTATGTGGCCAGAACCGTGTCAACACTCCACTAAATGACTGAGCTCACTGAAGAGTACAGTTCATGCTACAGCACACAAAAACATTTTAGGAAAGATTCCAATTTTTTGGGAAGAGTTTGGGGAAGATCCTTTTCTGTTCCAGCATGACTGTGCCCCCCATGTACAAAGCCAGTTCCATTACAACATGGAGTGATGAGTTTGAGGTGGAGGACCTTGAGTGGCCTACACAAAGCCCTGACCTCAACCCTACTGAACACCTTTGGGATGAGTTGGATTTCTGATTGCTGAGCCGGCTCTTCTCATCCTTCATGATTACCGGAACGGATCACCTGTTCTTGACATATGATTTTTTGGCTGAATAGGTAACAACACAGTTCAGTACTCTCCTTGATACTAAGGCCTTGTTTTCACCTGTGGTGCTCAGTCACGAATGATCCGTGCTCATAGCCTTTCAGAGAGTATTTGACTTGCCTTCCAACCGTAAGTTTTAACCCCCTAAATGCTGGGCTACAGCGCTCACTACCACTTGGAAGTGGTTTCAGTGTAGCCCCTTTCACTTGAATGGCTCATGTTTGGTGGGCAGTAGTGCTTGCCAAGTGCGAGAGAAGGTATCTTTCCTGTGGCAACTGCCTTTCCATCTAAGGGGGTAGCGGTAGAGAGATGGTGAAATTCGGATGAAATGCCCCCTTTCCCCCAGCCCACTAGTATAAACAAGCCTTGAGCCCGGGTTCACATATATGCGGTGCGGTTTATCGCATGTAATTCGCACAGGAACCGCACCGCATTCCTGTGCACATCACATGCGATTTGTGTGCGGTGCGATCGGAGCCGTGCATTTTGTATGGCTCTAATCGCACCACACCCGCACCAAGAAGGTGCAGGACCCTTTTTTGGGGCAGCACTAGAATCAGATCGCATGGGTATTCACACATCGCACCGCGTTTTGGGGACCACGTTCGGGGTGTTAACATACACACCCGCAGCGGTTCGCATGAACGGGGTGCGATTCTGATGCAGTCCGGAATTCTCACAGAAAACATTACGAATTCTGCACCGCATCATTGTGAACCTGGGCTAACCAATCCATTTTCAGGACTGCTGATTGGCACGAGAAGAAGAGGATATGCCCCCAAAGCCTGTCCTGAAAATGTAACTGTTAGTGCAAAGAAAAGGATCATGGGCAGTACTGAAATGTGTTGTCACAAGTGCGCTAATATGCCCTTGAGGCTGAATAGACACAAATTCCCACTTCAGAATCTGGTGGCCAAGCCCTCCCAGGAAAGGTTGTAGCTTCCAAGGGCTTCACCTCCATATTACTCCCCATGGTTTTGGAATGGGTTGTCCAAGAGGTTGATATAGGTGTGGTGGTCAGGTGTCACAGTGGTTTGGCCATATGCTGTATCTTCCGGTCTGAAGTGTTCTTGGTTTCTCTATGTATGTGTAGGTAGGTGTATGTATGTCGTTCTCTAATGCAAACCGACTTGTCTTAGTGGACCTTTACCATAAGTAGTGTTCTGGTTGCTTTCATTCACTCATACCAACAAAATAGAATCATTCTCCTAGCCCAGGGGTGGGCAACTGTGGCCCTCCAGCTGTTGGTGAACTACAAGTCCCATCATGCCCCTGCCTTTGGGAGTCATGCTTGTAACTGTCAGTTTTGCAATGCCTCATGGGACTTGTAGTTCTACAACAGCTGGAGGGGCCACAGTTGCCCACTCCTGTCCTAGCCCATGGTCCGTCAGCAGACCACATCCAGACATCACAGGGGTGTAATCCACGTATGAGCCCAGCTAGTTCTTTGTTTTTTACATTTTCATCACGGGTATCTCTTTCCTGCTGTTCACGCTTCATTGCTGCATTTCATACATAAGGAATTTTCATATCATTTGGAGATAAAAATTTAGAAAAAAACCTTGCAGACTAAAAATCTTGGTTTTGTTATAATGTAAAAATGCAGCTTCCTTTGACTGTCTACCACTGAAAACCGTGTACTAGTGGCAAATGTGTTTTTTTATAATCCATTGTTAATTGTGTTCCACTCGACTTCATTTCTGATCCAATACTAAATGCCAAGGATGATCCATCGAGACACTTGTATAATTCCAGGCCTCTGATTGTAAATGTATGTTTTACTGTGTGTGTATAACGCTTAATAAAGGTACAGACTACAGCCATCTCTTACCAAAATCCGACTAGAAACTTTTTTTCTGTTAAATATCCTTTCCACCGTCATTTTGTAATGTTCCTTTTTTTTTTTTGTAGTCAACGACAGTGTAATGTTTTCAACATATAACACTATTGCCATTTTTCCAGAAAATTCTTGGTCCATGTTATAAACCTATTAAAATGTTGAATGTTGATTTTCTAAATCCATTTGTGTAATTGTGTTCTATTGGATTTTTTTTTCTGTGAGATTATTGGTCAGTATTTTATCAAAATATTTTTTTTTTTTTCTTGAGTTTTCAACCAATGTGACAAATAGCCATTTAAAAAAGGGGAAGAGCTGTGGCCCTCCAGCTGTTGTAGAACTACAAGTCCCATGAGGCATTGCAAAACTGACATTTACAAGGAATACACAGTAAAAAGGAAGGCTCACCGGGGCTGGACCAGGGTATCTCAAGTTCAAATGGAATAGTAGATTAATTTTTTGTTGTTTTGGAGACTCACTGGGTTTGGACCAGGGTATCCCAAGTTCAAATGGGGGAAAAAAAATATATATATATAATTTTTTTTTATCTTTTGAATTGGAGACTCACTGGATTTGGATCAGGATATCCCAAGTTAAAATAAAAATGTAATTTTCCATTTCAACTTGGGATACCCTAATCCAAATCCAGTGAGTCTCCAATTAAAAAAAAAATATATATATACCCATTTGAACTTGGGATACCCTGATCCAAACCCCCGTGAGCCTCCAATTAAAAAAAATAAATAAAGATTTTATATATATAAATAAAAATTAAATTTTCCATTTCAACTTGGGATACCCTAATCCAAATCCAGTGAGTCTCCAATTAAAAAAAAAAAAAAAAATATATATATATATATATATATATATATATATATATATATACCCATTTGAACTTGGGATACCCTGATCCAAACCCCAGTGAGCCTCCAATTAAAAAAAAAAAAATATATATATATATATATATATATATATATATATATATATTTCCAAAATTAACTTGGGATACCCTGATCCAAACCCCAGTGAGCCTCCAATTAAAAAAAAAAAAAAATATATATATATATATATATATATATATATATATAATATATATATATATATATTCCCATTTGAACTTGCGATACCCTGATCCAAACCCCAGTGAGCCTCCAATTAAATAAAATAAAAATTTAATTTTTCATTTTTTTCCAATTGATTTTTTTAATTGGAGGCTCACTGGGGTTTGGATCAGGGTATCTCAAGTTCAATTGGAAGATTACATTTTTTAATTTTATTTTTATTGGAGGTTCACTGGGGTTTTGGATCAGGTTATATCAAGTTCATATGCAAAATTACATTTTTTAATTTTTTTCAGGCTTGCCAGGGTTGGACCAGGGCCTTCCAACTTCAAATAGAAAATTACATTTTACTTTTTTTTTTTAATTGGAGGCTCAGGGGGTTGGACCAGAGAATGCCAAGATAAAATGGAAAATTAAATGTATTTTTTCTTTTTTTAAATTGGACTACTTTTTTTTTTTATTATTATTGGAAGCTTGCTGGTGTTGGGCCAGGGTATCCCAAGATAAAAAGAAAAATCAAATTACATATATATTTTTTTTTAATTGGAAGCTCTTTGGGGTTGGACCAGGGTATTTTAAGTTCAAATGGAAAATTACATTTTTAATTTTTTTTTTGCTGGGTTTAGACACCAGGGTTGCTCAATTTCAAATGGAAAATAATATTTGAAATTTTTTTTTTGTTTAAATTGGATGTTTTTAGTAGAGATAGGAAAATGGAAATCACAAGATATTATTTTGTGCTCCTGGTCTAGAGTAAGGCAGAGGTATGGGAAAGCAGGCAAAGTCAGCAGCAATGACAGCCCAGCTGGTTTATCCACCCTCTGTATCAGACCATTTGGAAACCCGGGCACTGCCCGAGGGCCCAGGGTCAGTAGGGGGCCCCATGAGATGCCCCTGGTACCTTTTTCATAGGCTTTTTTGAGTTTGGGCAAGGACACAGGGGCCCCATGATCCCCTATTGCCCGGGGGCCCCATGAGTTGTCAGTCCACCCCTGCTCTGTATTGAAATGGTGGTTTCTGTGGGCAAGCAACGTTTAGGTTCACACTAGTTGCATTGCGGGAACAATTGCAAAATTCCAGCACCACACAAAAACACGCTGCCTTTTGCAGGCGCACTCCGATGCCATAAATTCTTAATGGCACCCCTACACATCTAGCAAACTCGCTTGTTTCGCACCCACCAAATCTCAAGGTGCTGCAGTACCCTGTGTTTCGATGCTGTGCAGTTTTAAATATCATGCCATCACTTCGCACACACATTAAAGTGATGATGAGCCATTATATCTGCTCTGTACAATGACCATGAAGATGAACCTCCAAAGCTTCTAAAGTTGGCAAACGTTAAATTCCGAGATGCTCATTTCCGGCCATTATTAGAAAAATGTAGTATGACCAAAGGGCATTGATCCCGCACATCGGACCAATTCACATTGAATAAATAAAAACAATAAAGACAAAGGTAATTTTGTCTTTGTTTAGCTATTTTTGTAATATTTTTATAATCTCTATTTTTCTAAATCGTTACTTTCCCAGAAGTAAACGTGAAGACCTTTTTAACAAGATGCTTCTATCTCGACTTTTATCTGCCAACCGTTTTGGATGCCGATTGACCTTGGAAAGTATTGCTTGACAAATGACACTGACAACAGGAGAGGGAATATCATATATACGCCACTTTACCTTCTATCCTTTCTAAAATATTGTGTTTCAGATGTTTAAAATGAATGCATTGACAAAGCTGTTCATGGTTTATCTTTATCCAGCTACTAAAGCTGACAAAATCAGTACCTGGAGAAAATGCTGCTCCACAGTCCCTTTATTTATTTCAGGTACTTATATAGCACCGTCAATTTACACAGCACTTTACATATATATTGTACATTCACATCAGTCCCTAACCCTCAAGGGGCGTACAATCTAAGGTCCCTAACTCACATTCATACATACACATACTAGGGCCAATTTAGACAGGAGCCAATTCACCTACCAGCATGTCTTTGGAGTGTGGGAGGAAACCGGAGTACCCAGAGGAAACCCACGCAGGCACAGGGAGAACATGCAAACTCCAGGCAGGTGGTGCCGTGGCTGGGATTTGAACCAACGACCTGTGTACTGCCAGGCAGAAGTGCTAACCATTTAGCCATTGTGCTGCCCTACCTTTCATCCATAAGTCAGGGCATTTAGATACGCAAAAGTTTTTTGGTTCAACATTTATGCGAGCAAATCCAAAAAAAAAAACATAAAAAGCACACGCTTTGATCCAAAAAAGTTTCTTGTGTCTAAATGCCAGAGCTGTCATGTATGGAAGTTGATATCGTGATCAATAGCCAACCCTTTCCAAGCTTGTGCAACCAGCACTGGAGGAGACCTAGAGCAGCATTTTCTGCAGGAGACCTTTCTCTTCCTCTTTCTCCATCCCTGCAAAGGTAACATCTGATTGGGTCTGCTCAAAGTACTTCTTCCTGTACCTACCATCCGGTGACCATTTATAAGAACCAAAATTTCTGAGAAATGGTCTTCTGTGAATAGGCTGGTCCTTATTACCATAACAGGGACCTCAAAAAGAGATGAAGGAAAATAGACTTTTCGCTTGGGCACGGTATGAATTGTCAGCCGTCATGGATCTAGAACACCATATTCCCAGACTGTTGGTGACATCTCTTTTGTATGATTCCACGGTGTATTTTTTTTTAATATCTCTATCTATCTATCCATTCAGACGTATCTGACCCTTGGTGATTGCATGGACTGAGTGACCATAAGCAACTTTTTCCATGAATTCTCTTAGCAATTATTTTACAGGGTAGGTTGCCAGGTCTTTCCCCAACCCCCACCATGCAGGAGATCCCACATGGCCAGGAATGAAACTAGGACAATTTAGACAGGAGCTAATTAACCTACCAGCATGTCTTTGGAGTGTGGGAGGAAACCAGAGTACCCAGAGGAAACCCATGCAAGCACAGGGAGAACATGCAAACTTCATACAGGAGGCGCCATGGTTGGGAATTGAACCCATGACCCATTTACTGCAAGGCAGACGTGCTAACCACTAAGCCACTGTGGTTAGCATATATACAGTCAGGTCCATAAATATTGGGACATGAACACAATTCTAACATTTTTGGCTCTATACACCACCACAATGGATTTGAAATGAAACAAACAAGATGTGCTTTGACTGCAGACTGTCAGCTTTAATTTGAGGGTATTTACATTCAAATCAGGTGAACGGTGTAGGAATTACAACAGTTTGCATATGTGCCTCCCACTTGTTAAGGGACCAAAAGTAATGGGACAATTGGCTTCTCAGCTGTTCCATGGCCAGGTGTGTGTTATTCCCTCATTATCCCAATTACAATGAGCTGATAAAAGGTCCAGAGTTCATTTCAAGTGTGCTATTTGCATTTGGAATCTGTTGCTGTCAACTCTCAAGATGAGATCCAAAGAGCTGTCACTATCAGTGAAGCAAGCCATCATTAGGCTGAAAAAACAAAAAAACCCATCAGAGAGATAGCAAAAACATTAGGCGTGGCCAAAACAACTGTTTGGAACATTCTTAAAAAGAAGGAACGCATCGGTGAGCTCAGCAACACCAAAAGCCCCGGAAGACCACGGAAAACAACTGTGGTGGATGACCGAAGAATTCTTTCCCTGGTGAAGAAAACACCCTTCACAACAGTTGGCCAGATCAAGAACACTCTCCAGGAGGTAGGTGTATGTGTGTCAAAGTCAACAATCAAGAGAAGACTTCACCAGAGTGAATACAGAGGGTTCACCACAAGATGTAAACCATTGGTGAACCTCAAAAACAGGAAGGCCAGATTAGAGTTTGCCAAACGACATGTAAAAAAGCCTTCACAGTTCTGGAACAACATCCTATGGACAGATGAGACCAACATCAACTTGTACCAGAGTGATGGGAAGAGAAGAGTATGGAGAAGGAAAGGAACTGCTCATGATCCTAAGCATACCACCTCATCAGTGAAGCATGGTGGTGGTAGTGTCATGGCGTGGGCATGTATGGCTGCCAATGGAACTGGTTCTCTTGTATTTATTGATGATGTGACTGCTGACAAAAGCAGCAGGATGAATTGTGAAGTGTTTCGGGAATATTATCTGCTCATATTCAGCCAAATGCTTCACAACTCATTGGACGCTTCACAGTGCAGATGGACAATGACCCAAAGCATACTGCAAAAGCAACCAAAGAGTTTAAGGGAAAGAAGTGGAATGTTATGCAATGGCCAAGTCAATCACCTGACCTGAATCCGATTGAGCATGCATTTCACTTGCTGAAGACAA